TTTTCATTCCAAATGAGTACTGCATGAGGAATGAAAGATAGATACTAAGGTCACAGTTGTCAGCAAAACATAAATAAATAAAATAAAATAAGACAAAAAACTGTACGTAATGTGTTACACATGGAGTTTTTATTTATTTATTTTATTTATTTAACCTTTATTTATCCAGGTAAACTGTTAGAGAACCACTTCTCATTTACAAACATGACCTGGCATGCACTGAGTGCATTGCAATATACAAACCGACATATTCAGCCAGAGTGAAGTGATTGTAAATTTTAAACGCGATTTAAAAATTTAATCTATGCCTATGCAGCACTAAAATTAATCAGAGCTAACTCGATTAATTTCACAGCCCTAATGGAAACCAGACATCATTTTGGAGAAAATTTCAACTCTTTATACCAACCTTTAGATCCTTTATGTACAGTACTTTTGGGGTGTATTTCAGCTTTTATCGCCCAACTAAATTGAACTGATGTCAAACGATTCTGGTTCTCATTCTTTGTGCTGCGTTAGCATTTAAGAATTATATGTATTGGCTGATGAGCTGTGTGTTAAATGTGGAATAATGTGTTTCTTCAGGAGCTACGTGTTCCGAGCCCAGACTCAAGAAATCAAGGAAAGAGGAGGAAATCAGAGCACAGGTATTGATTTCTTCATCACACAGGAGAGAGTCATCTTCTTGGACACACAGGTAAGAATTTAGCTTTTACAGCCTGTTCACTTGGCAGTCAGAGTGAGTTCAAATACGTCCCCTTTGTCTGCAGCCGATGCTTAGCCCATCTATCCTGGACCACGTCATCAACAACGATCGAAAGTTGCCTCCAGAGTACAACCTTCCTCATACTTATGTGGAGATGCAGGTCCGTGTCTGACCTGCAGAGRGCAGTGTGGAATATAAATAATGGAGCAGAACACATCATTTATTCAATGTCTCCCAACAGTGTCTTCAGATCGCCGCCTTCCTGTTTACAGTGTGCCATGTAGTGATAGTGGTACAGGACTGGTTCACCGACTTAAACATTTACAGGTAACATTTGTTTCTACTTGATATGTGTCATTACTGCCCAAAGTCACAGGACAAAAACTGCAGGTTTGCYTCAGAAGGTGCTCTGACTTCAACCAGAAAGTCCCTTTCTTTGAAAAGAATGTGAAGTATTTAATTTTATATCTGAAGAGGATATTTGTCTTGTTCAGAAGCTCAAAAATGGGATTCTTTCAGTTGGTCTTGTAAACATGACATATGAACAAAGCCAGACCAGGTTGGATTTACCGTCTTATGTTTCAGTCTAGCACAGGCATGGGCAATCCTGGTCCTCGAGGGCCGCAGCCCTGCATGTTTTATTTGTTTCTCTGCTCCAACACACCTGATATGAATGAATAGATCAGAGGTTCTCAAACTGGGGTCCGTGAAAGGTATCCTGGGTGTCAGTGAAAAATTTGACTAAATTGTTAATATAGTTTTTATTTTTAGAAATGCATGGAGAACAATAAACTAATAAAATAGAAATAATAAATATAATAAAAATATATATTCCCATGGCACTTAGGGGTTTAAATGACAATAAATTATCTTTTAAAACAGCTATTTTTGGGAGTAAAAAAGGCAGATGTTAATAAGATTTTTTTCTTCTTTCTGCTACCTTTCATTTTATTTGTGATTTGTATTATTTGTTGTATGTATAGTATTTGTTTTGTTTTTAAATTAAAATGAATAAATTTACTAAACTAAACTAAACTAATAGATGATTATCAGGCTTCTGCAGTATAGGGGACCGAAACTGACATAATTAGAAATAAAAGCAGAAATAGATAAATGAACCTTTAAATAAATAAAACCACGTGGAGCTGGATATTAATTTGTGTAATAAGACAAAACTGTCTTGTTGTTTTCAACAGTTTTCACC